GGCCGAAAGTTAAGCAAAGAAAAAAAAAATCCAATTAATATTTATAAATTACTAAAACTCAAAAAGAACAACTTTTTAAAATGTATCATGTCATTTATATATATAGTGAAATATAATAAATCAATAATTAATTTATTGTATAAAAATAAATCTCTATGAGTGCTCTATAACTCAAATTTAATTTGAATTGTACGGACTCATTTAACAGACAAACATTTTGCAAGGTGAACTTATCGTACTGAGCCTGTGTCAATCCTTTTTGTTTCATAGTTGAACATGAGTGTGCACAATTTTTATTGTTATCTACTTTATTAAAAATTATAGTGTTGTTAATACATAAAAAAAAACAAGAGAAATTCTTATAAATAGACTCATGAAACGCGAGGTCGTTCTAGTTCATCAGCAATGTCAAAGAATTTGTTCCGCCGTGCTTCATCGATAGGACGATTGCCCCAACGATCTTTATATGTCATACCATCATAGCCATATTGGAGAAGTACTTGCACGACATTCATGTGTCCATTGACAGCAGCCGAATGCATCGGTGTACGACCATCATAATCAGCGTAGATTTCGTTTCGATCATAGTAACCACGTCGAAAAAGGCCATCGATTCGTTCAGCTGCACCCGAAGCGGCTAATGTAGCAAAATGAAATATTTTTTTCCATTTTCGTAGCAAACAACTGGTAGTATCATTTTTGATGTTCGTTGCTGGCAAATGCGTCGTTTCTCTATACATTGTATCATTCTGCGAAAGTATATGTTCTTTTATAAAATTACAAATACCGACATGGCCATGACGATAGGCTTCATCAATGGGTGATAGATTCCATCGATCTGCACGGCTCATAATCGACCCAAAATAAGAACTGCCAAAATGTTCAAAAAGAAATCGAATATATTCAAGTTGACCTTTGGCAGCAGCAATATGGGCTATACAACGAAAATCGTAGTCTACCCATTCGAATATATTAAGATCTGGATATTTTTCAAGAAAATCAGATATTATTTTGATATTGTCATGAACTTTATTGATAGAGAAAAGAGCGGGTAATAAACTCTCTTGCAAGTTTATCGAAAGTGTTCTGTTATCATCTTGTTTTTCGTCTGTCTTTCTATCTGGATTTTTTATTACGACTGTTTCGATATCCATGATATTTTCTGCTTTCATTTTCATTGGAATAGAAACGTCTTTCTTGTCTAACAAATAGTCAGTAATAACTGTAGTGGGCAGATATGATGCATATTCTATCGCTGTTCGTTGCGAATAATCGACAATGTCTAAACGAGCAGAGACTTCTTCAATTAGATAACGGACAATATTGAACTGATTGGTAATCACTGCTATATGTAAAGCATTTTGATCTTTATAATCACCAATATTTGGGTCGAATCCACATTTAACTAAATGACGTATAGTTTTTAAATCACCCTCATAAACAAATGCATTAAGATAAAATGCTAATTCTTTTGTTTTACATGTTGGCATTCGTGCACCATGTGTATAGAGATATTCAAGTAAATTTAAATGTCTATGCCAAAAAGCGTCAAATAATGGTGTACCACCAAAATTATCGGTTAGATTTACGTTTGCTTCACAATCTTCAATAAGCCATTTGCACAATTTCATATTACCTTCAGAAGCTGATATGTGCAGAGCACTTCGCAAATTATGATCAACTGAATCAATATTGACGTTTTCGAGTACTAACATCTTCAATTGATTGATATCATTTCTATAAGCATATGAACATATTAAACTTGGAATCAGTTCCGTTTCAACTTTTGTAAATTCTTCTAAGGTAATATCTTCGTCAGGTGATGGCAAAAAATTCGTGAAGTAATTCAAAAATTTAAATTGACGTTTTACGAATCTTGAAAGACGATATCGATAACGATGATCTTCAGGAATACTAACGGCTGATAATTTGACACCGATTAAACCTCGGGAACCAGCAATAAGACAAAATATCCAACAGACGAAGGTGAACGGAAAAGTTAAAGTTGGCATGCCAATCGGCGCAAGAAAAGCTGACACAGTTGCTTGTATAAGTACTGTCATTATCGATCCATAGATAGTAGCTAACCATATTCGATATCCGTAAAGAACAAAAAACATACCACCTAATGCTTGGCATGCCAAAGCTGAATTAAAGCCCCATAGTCCAGCACGAATTGCTGTTGCAGGTAGTCCCAGAAAATAGGCAGCAGTCAATTGTCCCGTGACAGCACCGAAAAGAGCAAAAACCGAAAGAATACGAGAACAAACGCAAAGACCGACAAGAATAATAATGCCTGTATATGGATTTTCAATAAAATAAACTTGTGATACACTATTAAAAAAGCCAACTACGTTATCATGAAAAGAATATCCCGAAAATGATACATTCAGGAAGAGTGGTTTGTTAGCGATTGTGCTCAATATATTAGGAGATAGTATTGTTCCATTAACGAAAAAATAACGATATTTCAAAGAACCCAAAAGCCATATCCAAGTACAAATTTGAAAACTAAACGTAAATGGTGGTATTTGAAGACGTTGAACGAGTATTTTTCCAACGGCCATGTTGAATATTGTTGAAAATATGCTCATAATCACGATGGGAATAATCATATGAGGAGAATTCGGAAAACTAAAAAAGGCTATACCCATGCCTACTAGACATCCATTAAAACCATACAATCCAGCTCGAATCGCATTATAATCGAATTCTAAAACATGAGCTGTTAATGTTGATACAGCAGTGGCGAGAAGACCATACAATGCCAGTTCCCAATTGCCAATGAACAGTCCAATCATAATGATAATACCAGATAAAGGATTACTAGCAAACATAACTTGACTAACACCTCGAAAAACTGAATCCATAAAAATAAAGATACGCTGGCATAATCTATTGCCACAAAGAAAATTGTCACGTGAATAGATATCTTCTATGTTGGACATTGTTCCAATAAATGAACGATATGATAGATGATTTTTCTTCTTAAGAATTGGTTCTTGTTGATCAATATTGACAAAAAATGGTTCGGCTTCTTGAGAATTATCTTTCAATGGTTGTTGCTGTTGTTGATTTTGGAGTATTATAAATGAAGGAATTTTCTGTTGTTTTTTCAGATCATCATCGAAACAATTCTCAGTAGTATTATTTTGAAATGAGCACGATACTTTTGCTTCAAGCGAACTTTCATTTAGTTTATCATGTACCCCATTTTGATCAAGAAAATTAGTAGAAATATTTTCTGTAGTAATGCACGGTAAAGATGCTTGTATGCTAGTCGATTGTTCATTATTTAATTTGGATGAAACATTTTGTTCTTCTCGCTGTCTAATCACTAAAATAGACAATATCCTCACTATTTATATTCGTTATTTTGGTGCGTCTGTCCTATATCTTAATCTTTTCGCCTTCTGAAGTAAAAATTCTTGTTGAAAATGTTCGCATCATTGTATCAAAAATAGAGAATTCTCCTCTGGTGCTATTCACGACGGACATCGAAAAACTCAGCAAAGAACCGACATCTTCAAAAAGCAGATGTTTTTGAAATGTACACAAATGAAACGTTCAACTACCGCATCTGATACACTCTCAACTATCATCAAATAGTCAAACATAGTAAAATAAATCTTAACGAAAGCAAAATTTCAAGTATTTGACAGAGATAAGTTCGATCTCGATATGTACTTCATTTTGACCTTTGAATTTAGAAGCAATGAGTGCTGAAAATTTTCTACGATGCTTATACGTGGAAAAAATAATGATGAACCTCATGAAGTATATTAAACTAAAAATGTCCGTGGTGGCAACTTTGTTTTAGAAAGAAACTTCAAAAATTCATGAATTTACACAGAATCTTAACGTTCATGTATGCTATACTGTAAGACTTAACGACTCCGATCCATTAACAGTAGTGATTCTAGTTGAAATCAGTCACAGCCATCAAACTCAACAATTTTTTTAGAATACTAGTGCAGCTAAGCTGCAGCGAATGCTCAGTCGCGATGGACATCTCTATATTAAATATATTAAAACACTTGAACAACTTATCTACAAGTTATTTAGATCATATAACGAAAATTGATGAGAAAATATATATGAGCATCAGTAGAAGTAAAAACGATCGGTTGAGACATTTCAATTTTACTTTGAGATATTGGCAATATTTCATCCTTCGTACGCGTCTTTGTACCATCATTCATCACCGATGACATTGCTCTTATAATTGTCGTCACTCTACGAAAAGAAAAGAAAATCAATAGAATAAATGACTGATGAAAAGCATTTTTCTGTATTCCTTATCGCTTATTAATATTTACAAATTGGGTGACAGCCTCTTCGTAAAGGAGTGAGATATTGGTGAAAAGTCAAATATTAAAATGTCAGCTTTTTTACTGCGGTTTAAGACTGATAGATTGAAAGAAAAATATACGTCACAATGGAACCTTTCATCTGTTGAAAATTGTCAAAATCGGATGTGACTGTTAAGAGTCGTTTATATTCCAAATCGTATATTCTACATGCGGTTAAGCCACTTTAATAGGACAATATGGACGTGGGAAGCAAGTGAATATATGTGTCTTGTAGATCTGCATTATAGTATACTCAAACCGATATTCACATCTTAACTATGAGTGTCTCATTTATGTTCGAAAAGTTTTATTACTGTTGACAGCTTGTTTCTTTCAATTAAAGAGAAAGTTTTTGAAATAACACGCAATGAAATAGTTATTACCAAATAGAAAGAAAAATCTCACTTTTGCATACTTAAGTCTAAGGAGAATGATATTAGTATGCATACTACGAATAATTCTCCAAGAAGAGGAATTAGAATAATTCCTGAATATTTTGTTTGTTTTTCCATTCAAATACTATTTAACTACAATAAATCCAAATTTATTACGATTGAAAAAAAAAGAATTTTTTGCATTTTGATTAAAACTATAACTATATATATTTCACTCGTTAAATTTTATTCAGAATAATAAAGTAAATACTAATTTAATTTGATTTAATTCAAAAAAAATGTAATAGATCTGTTAATTAATTTTATTTTTTAATTTTAATTTTAACATTTAACAAAACTCAGTTTATAATAAATTAAACTAAAAATCATATATATTTATCTTGAGTAAAATCAAAACAATTTTTCTATTTATTATCAAATTTTATTTATTTTAATTTAAATTTGACATATTACAATGAAATAAAATATTTTTGCAGATTTTTTTTTTAATAATCCACAACAGTTGACATTGCATGAATATCAATTTTCTATTTTTTTTTCTAATTAGACTGATCATCCAAATCAATTACCTCGGAAGATAAAACTTCACAACGATGTACAAATTCAATATCAGTAGCAAAAACAGAATAAAAAGCTATTGCCAGTACGTTATGAGCGACAATGCTAACGATTTGGTTGGCTTTCTGAAATAAACCAATTGACAATTATGCTAGTACATTAATGCACTTTGGCACACTCATAACATCATGTTCGAGGTACGCTTGTAGCATGCGTTCCATTCTCTTGGTAAGCGTAACGAGATTGTTCTGTTCGACACGGAATAAGAGAATTTCGGTTTATGCACCAATGTTTGAATAATACATAAAAGGCGCACTAGAGAAAAACATTCGGTAATCCATTAACAAGATCACGAGTTTTACAATAAAGCTCATTCCTATCCAAATATATGATATAAATCTAATTCTGTCAAGTTTGATAAAAATAAAATGAGGAAATTATGAAACCTGTCGAAAAACTCTGAATTGTGCTAATGCTATTAAAATAAATGAAACAATGTTTACTTTTAAGCTATCCCTTAGGACATTACAATAATTTTCGTAGATATCAAACGCAAAAGAAGAAAATGTACAGTAACTAGAGTAGATTTGTTAATATAAGCATGGAAAGTAAAGAAAGTGCGTTAAACCCGAAAACAAAAACAAAATGCTTGATTAAGTAACTTACTCCAATTTTTCTATAAGATTTAAGTTGAAGTTTAGCATGATAGCACTTTTATGTGGTACTATTCCTTCACAATTTCAATTTTACATTGTTTCTTCTCTCAATAACGTTCTCTTATATTGAATTTATCATTACGTAGTATCCTTCTAGCGTATAGTACCTGAATGATGAGACTCATAATGTTCAATAGCTTTGTCGTCGCTGTAATACATGTTGTATTAATCTTTAGTTTCCCTTCGCTCCCGTCGTGTATTGAGGATATACACAATTCATATGGTATATATTAAAAATATAAAAAATAAAATAAGAGCTGTTGACAGAATTAAGTCTCAAGAAACATTCAAGCACGGCAAATTCTTAACCAACTGATCAGTTGATGACCTTCGACTATTCACCTTCGACTCAATCATTAATTGATTCACTTACTCCTTTGAACTTCTTTTCTGCTACACTAATAGTTTCGGTTTTTCTCGGAAACTATTTGTAATAACTAATTATTATTAGAAAAATATCAATATTATACATCTAGAAGAGGATGAAAACAAGTGTATTGATTTGTTTCTCACATAAAGTCAATATTTTGTACAACCCTCTAACATTATTCGTAGAATTGTGAATAAACTGAAACAAAACGAATAATTACTTATTTGAACTATACAGTCGATTAATAAGAATTAGTTATGACTTGCTTGTTTGATCGAATAAATCGACTGAGTAAGAAAAACAAGACGTTACTTATATATGTAATACTTTTACAAATGTAACCAGATGTTTCTTTCCTATTTGTCTTTATTTTGCTCTTTGCTTCTGTGTTTACATTCCGAATAAAGGAGAATATTTATTTCATGTCGTTCTCTTTCCACAGAAAAAAAAATAAGATAAAACAGTAATGTACAAGAAAGTATTGTTACAATAATTTTTGTATTGTTTGCTTTCGTCATTGAACAACAACTTTTGTGTCAACGAGACGTTGCATAAACTGAGTTTCTACGAACGCATCTTGGCAGTTATCTATTGATTCCACTATATAAATTTGTAACTCAGATGTACTCGGTCATTTCAAGAAGTAAATGTCGACTTTGAATTCAAATAAAACTACGATTTGTAACTTCGAAAGAGAGGGTGTACTACAAAGTTTTTGAAAATGTTTATTGTACAAAAATTGCAATTAATTGAAAGTTCTGTAATTTCCATTCAATAGATATAAGAATCGATTCAAGATAAAGACATATATGAGAACAAAAATATTCTCTCAAAATAAGTTATGACCAGAGTCTCTTCGAGATTAACATATGGAACTCGCATGATTTCTTTAGCCTTTTTCCATTAATGCAGAATAAATATTTGTCTCTTGGAATAGTCGATTCTAATAGTACTGGTTAATCGATTATATCTGCATTTCATCAACAGTTACTTTTCCTTCCTTTTAGCATTAATTAATGTTGTCATTTAGCATAAAAATAGATACTAGTACGTCACACATTTGGTGTCTTTTTCTCAATAAAAAAATGATGTTTTTGAATGTATATAAGAGTAGGATAGTACATTCTCATCCACGCCTATTGAAATTTTAAAGAATAAAACAAAGATATTAAAAATCGCCGGTTAATCGTTCGATATATTGGCAATCAGCTCCGGTAATTTCATTTTCTACTGGTAGGATCAAGATACGAAATTACTGATCCACTGTCATATGAGTCAATGTAATCGTCAGACAAAACTTTTATTTTTTGATTTTATTATAAAAAAATTCTCGTTTTTCTATTTCCATTTTTCTATCATAGTTTCTTCTTAAGTGAAATATAACTGTGGGTGTTATCGTCTTTGAACGGATACCCAAACCCAATCTCACGCAGAAATAGAGAGTTCTATGAAACTTAAGATAGAGTATGAACACTGATGAGTTTAGTCCAATTTGATACAAATAAATATCTTATCATAAAAGCTAAGAGATGACCACTATATTCTTGTCTTGATAAGAAGGTTGAATCAATATTTGACATGGTTAAATACTCTTCTTTTATTTATTTAATTTGATATTAATTATAATATGATATTAACTACTTTTTTTTTTAATTGCTAACAAAAATTTTTAGTAACGTTTCGTATCTTGATAAGATACTTCGTCAGACATTAACATTAGAACAAGTAACTTAACATGCATAAACATACAAGTGAAAACAATAGAATAAGAACAAACAAATTAGTCTATTTTCAGTCAATGTTGATAGTGATACGGAAAAACAAGACGGTAATAGCGACTAGGTCAGGAGTCAATCCTTTTCCGTATCACTAGAGGGTGTGGGTGTTGTCGAACAAGAAATGTGTAGCCATACCCACACCGACCCATCCACACCCACACCCACCCACCGACACCCACACCCACACCCAAACTACTCTGAGAAGTTTACGCGAGACTTCTAGCTCTATTCCAAATCAGAAAATGATCTACAAAAAAACAGTATTCGTCGAATTTCAAGAGTATAATCTGTTGACTTTTTTTTCGTATTTAAATAAGTTTGATTATTATCAGTGGAAAATAGTAGATATAAAAAAAAAGAAACAGTCTTGGTACTAATCATACTTGAAAATTGAAAAGAGTTCATGTAGAAGTCGCTTATGATAGATTGTAATCTTCAGTTATTCCAATACCATAGTTATATTTGAATATATAATTAATTTTAACGAAAACACCACTTACCATAAATTAGGCAACGCATTTTCTCAGAAAATCAAAAAAAAAGAACATTTTTTCAGTGACTTTCTGAAAATCCAGGATCGTTCGACTCTCACTTCTACCTGCTCAAGTTTGTCCAATTTTTGGTACATCTTTTTTCTCTTCGCCCTACTCCCTTTATCTGGATGTATCTTATGAACGATCTCCAAGAACTTAGAAAATACCAACAGATTGAACGAAAACGATGTATAAGAGATCCAATATTTCTGTCATTTTTTTATCGAAAATCGTATATTTGAGACGACCATAATCCTCTAAGGATTCCTATATTTTTAAAAAATTGCAATTGGAGCTCGGTCTTTAGTTTTTTTTCTCAACATTGACCCGTCAACCAGAGATGGAACCGGTACCGGTTACCGGCCGGTCCGGTCCGGTACCGGTACGAGTTTTAGACCGGCCTGTCCGGTCCGATCTAAACTTTTCAGACCGGTTCCATCTCTGGCATAAATACCGTCTTCTATCTGTTACTTATCAAATAGGATCCAAAACAAAGTTAGAACTGATAGATTTTTTCGCTGTTGATGCCAGCACAGATCTTAAAAGTCAAACCAGATCGGTCCGATTCAGAAACTACTATAACTAATTCTCTGCTCGACTCCATAACAGTCATATCTGATTTCTGACCACTGTAGCAATGACATAAAAGCCTTGTTTTAGTTCTTTTTACCACTTATTTCCATAAAGGTTCTTGTTCTTGCTGTCGATCTGTGAACAAGAAACTTCATAGAATGTAGATTCTGTATTAGGTGTCTACATTGCTTAACTGTTTGTCAAATACGGATGTTATCAATTAACTGTACATTCAGTCTGCTTCGCATATTATATTTCCTTTGTTGTCTGTTATGCCTGTGCAGAAAATATGCTATAAACAATAGGAAAATAGAAGTTTATGATAAGCTATAATGCTGAGCAGTGATCTAGTTTTACTCTGATGAAGCATACATTAGGTCAGAACTTCTCTAGTTGAATCATTCTCAGCACCAAGAATCCCGGGCTCATTCATTTACCTAGATGCAACAACAGTAATGAATAATGAAGAGTACAATGCATAATTAGTTTATGAAAATTTTTGCTTTTGAGAAACCTCAATTTGTCCAGTTCAGTATGAATAATTCGTTTAAAGAGGAAGCGACGAATTGACGCGAAGTATTCTCTGAATTTTTCTTGCATTCGAGTGAAATAAATGCTGAATTGTTTGTTTCTGTTACTTAATATTAATGGTCAAGAAAAGCTACTTAATCCTTGATTCAATTAAGTCACATTAGCAAAATTAGTTCATTCTCATCTGAAATTCTGTTGAAAATATATACAGCTTCAAATGTAAATGATCATTATCCATTGATAAGCTACCAGCAATTTGAAAGTTGATTGTCTAATTGCATATTTGTAATCTTTATTGTTAATTACTGTTATTGCAACTAAGGAATGTGTGAATCCGAAATTTCCAGAACCAAAAATGGCCGCATCCGAAAAGTTCGGGCTCTGTGCACGCCTAATTTTAAATACATGACAGAGACATTAGTTTCTTTTAGCTTCTTCCACTGATTTTCAATTTGTTCTTATTGACTTGTCGAAACGTTTGAATGAACTAGCTTCCGCCATGCTAGATACTCTGTGTTCATTGGCAAAAGACTCTATACTCAATTTCAAAAATACTTCAGCGTTGGACTTTGATACAATGCCTAAGAAGACCACGTTTCTTTTCATAAGTAGCGACTTTGCCGCCACTATGAAAAATAAGCCTGAACAAGTTGAAGCAGTTTTCATTCTAGAGAATGATAAGAACAAAGTTGATAATCGAGAACGATTTGCTACTGGCGAAGATATCATTTGTCAATTGGCTGATGAAATATATCGTTGCTATGAAAAAGAAGCACGGGAATGTTCAAAAGTTGTTCATCCATCAATAGCGGCAAAGAAAGCAGAACAAACCAATCGAATCCATATAGAACTGAAGAAGATACATCGAAGGCTTTTTCCTCGTAATATTACCACTGATATATCGATTTGTACAAGAACAAAAGTCGTCTGGCTCAAATCAAAATCACAAGATAACATTGAAGTGGAAAAAGTAAAAAACCTACTTTCCAAAGTCGCTTCATCTTTTTTGGTGTTTGACAGTCTGCTTGACTGCCAAAAGGATTTACTCGAAGATGAATTGGTTAGTAACATATTCCTTATTATTGATGCTGATTACGATGACTCAGTTATTATTGAATTGCAACAACTTCCTAATGTTAAAGTCGTCAGTCGTTATGGGCAATCATCATTGGAAAATAAAACAGCTATCGAAAATTATGATGATCTTTATTATCAATTAACACACGATGTTATTGCTCATTACAACAGATTGGGTACTTATTTTAGTAAGAAACAAGATGCAAAAACAGCTAAAGACATGTTTATGAAAGCACATACACTTTGTAATATTGATTCGGAACTTTAAATGATCAAAATAAGCTATGCATGTATACCGAACTCGAACGGTTCGAGTTCGGTGAATGTCTAAAATAAGCGTCTTCTTTTTGTTGTTTAAACACATATTTCTCTTCAATGTCACTTTATTTTAGATGCAAACTGTCGACGATATTATATTTGATAATTTTATATATTCGCTGGCTAGAGCTTGGGCTCTCGTACTTTACGAGATAAGAGGAACACACATTGCTATTCCCTTACCTAATGCTTATTTAATGCCATTTATTCGTCTTTTCAAGAATACAACGGAGTGTCAAAATCACATCGACAGTAACAATCAAAAAATGATCACGTTATTTACTTATGAAAATAATATGCAATGGCTAACTATAAACTTCTATTTCAATAACACACCACAACTACAAAAAATCAATATTTTTTGTTCATCGGTCGAAGAACAAGCATATTGGACCACATGGATAGCACGTTATAGAAACAAAATTGATGAACCATTCTTATACGATGAACTTGATTTAAAATTATTACTATTTGGTTTTTATCAAATACCCAAAGTACGCCGACACTTCTGTAACGATCATGGAGTGTTAAATAGATTGAAGGAAGATGAAAAACATATCCGGAAAGCTCTGTTCGACTACTTCTTGCAGAAAGCAAACAGAGAAGAGGAAGAAATTAGACAAAGCGAAGAAGTACATACTTAATTTTTTTTCGTTCATGGAAGAGTAATAATTCATCATGATATAGAAAAAAAATACGTCTTAGATGACACTGCAACAATAAAAGATATGATAACCAGATCAAAGGTTAAAGGTCAAGACATTTTCTAAAATTTTGTAGACCTTTCCAGAACGATGCGCAAAATCATCACGGTTCTGGGATGTTCTCGAACTTTCTAGAATCTTCTATAAGGTACTATCTAGTCTGACTACAGCTGGAATGTTGAAGGTCAGAGATCAAAAGTCAGGTTTCAAAGACCAACAGTTGAAGATCGGAAAATTCCACCTCGGGGTGACTAGAGGATGGTAAGTTAGTAGGTGTCGGTGTCGGTAGGAGTATAGATAGTTGCGGGTGTCTGTGTGGGTACGAGTGTGGATGTGGGACGTGCACTGTAAAAGAAAATAATAGAATAATAAACCATTTAATGGTTTATAAAAGTGTCACGTATAATAAATTATTTTTACAGAATGTCAGGTTTTTCATAAATCGTTTCGAAGGGTATATTAATAGTTATTTGGTTTTCATAAATCCTTATAAGGGTACATGAAGTGGAACGTATAACAAAGCGTTCAAGGGCATATAAATATTAAATCCCTTTCATAGGCCATTCAGAGGAATGTATGAAGGAGTATTAAATTTTCATATACTCTTAAACAGTTTGTTATATCGTACATTTTCCTCTACACCAATAGTGGTTCATAAAAATCAAATATACACCTCCTAATATACCCTTTTGAAGGATTTATGAAACGGTTAACTCTACAATTGAACTTAAAAACGACATTGTTGAATCAAGATAAATCTAAAAGAAGGAAAGAATTGATTTATGATAAAAATCTTCTTTCTTTAGGTTTATCTCAACTTAACAATATAATCGCAAGTTTAATTCAACAAATAAAATAATTTTTTCTCTTTGAAATCATTTTATACGTTTAGTTGAACGTACCATTGCATTACTGAATTAAAACAAGTCTAAAGAAAAAAGGAGTTTATTATTAAACGACTTCATTATGTTTAGAGGAGGATGAGATGACGATGTATGTGTGAGTGTTAATTTGCTTTCTATCGAAACCTAAACCCACACCCCACACCTGACGTGTTGTTAATTTGCTTGGTGGGGTTGATGCAATACTATTTATTTGTTTTTGCAAATGAGTCTTGCTTACCTTTGCAGCCACTTAACTTTATATGTTTCTAATTCTTCGTTAATATGCTTGGTTCTTTCCCTTTTCTTATTTTTTATTACGCACTCTAGTAAGAACGTAATTACACAAGATACGCATGTTTTTTTATGAAGTGGCGTGCTTGAGTGATTTGTGCACATTGAATACTGTATACAAAAAAAAAAATATTCAGATTTAAAAAAAATATCGAGAAACAATAGGTGTCGAAAAAAAATCAAATTACTTTTATTTTGACGGCCGTAATATATATTATATTCATGCATATATAAATACAATCTTCCAAGCAAATAAACTTCGTGAGGGTGTGAGTGCGGATGCTGTGTATGTAGGGATCGGATGAGGGTAGTGTCGTTGTGACTTAGATTCCAAATGATATCTTTACAGACACCTGCATTCACACACCCACACCCACATTCACACCCACACACCTCACCATTCAGCGATACCTAGGAGACCACAGGGATCAAAATTGACGATGTCTTTTTTTCCGAAATAAACCTCATTTAAATACTCAGAAGTTACTCCATATTCAAAACTAATGGAAATAAATTAGTTCTGAAGCAATTTAAAAACTTTGGCCTTATCTACCCTGTTTTTCTCTTCTTTTAGTATGTTCCGTTTATTAATACGATAAAAGCTTTAAAAATAATTAGTTCGTCAGCAATGTATTTGCATAGTTTTCCATCATTCTCGATTTCGTTGATCCACGCAGTTCACATCGTTCATTGATCAACCGATTGGCTAATTGTTGATGTTGATTATTATTCGAATATACTGCCGAATGGATTAGTAACAAAGTGAAAATATCTCGTTGTGCATTCGATCCACCAGCCATAGCAGTTCGGTTTCGAATGGGGTACAAAAGTTCCACTACTTGAGCATAGTCTCCTTCGTCAAAACATTCAAGTGCAGCAAAGATGCGTTGACCGATTTCACGATAGGAGTTTCCAGCATCCGTATCGGACAATTCGACTGTTTCTTTGAGTGAACGAAGAAAGTCTTTTTTCGTCTCGGTATCAGCAACATTATCTAACACGAAGTAGTGATGAAAATCTTGAAAAATTGTTTGATGATCACGGGAATGAACATTAAGGAACTGTTTCAATTGAGAGTTCGATTGCGATGGATATGGATGTCCAGCTAATTTGAGACGATAGATCAACGAAGCAGCATCGGTATATTTTAATCGACTTAATTCTATTCCACTGTTGTTCAAAAAGCAATGCTCAAGAATTTCTTCCGCTTTTTCCCAGTTGCCATGTTCTAATTCATATATTGCCCAATGCCAATCGATATGTGGTGCAATTATATCGCACTGATGCCAATGGTTGTCAGTTTTCTTTAGAAAGTCGATTCCTTCCGATGTTTGACCCATGTATTCCGCAGCATGCGCCAGTGCATGTGTAGCCCATGCATCATGTTCATTGAGTTCAAGTCCAAGTCGAGCTTGTTTTTCTGCTCGTAGTACCATGTTTGTTTCACCTAAACCAAACGCATACATTCCATACAAGTGCGATTTGAGTGGACGATGTGATGATGAAGATTCCCAAATTGGTAGTACTCGTGCAACAGAATCTCGTAGCATATTTTGGTTGCCAAGATGAAAATATGTGTCGAGTGCAAATCTCAAAGTCATGATATCAAAAGGATAACTGAGGAGAATAGTTTCCCATATGTCAGCAGCGCGTGAACGATAGCCAAGTGACCAGTTGATGAGAGCTTGTGTATGAAGATTGATGTAGTGATTCGATGAAGTTACTGTATCACCGAGTGTTTCAATAAGTTGAGTATGAACCAATGCAGATGGACGAGGCATTGAGAACATCCCAAGAGCAGCAGCTAGAATACGACTGCTGGCACAATTTGGATCAGAAGCGAGAAGACGAAATAGACTCGATTTGATACCACCCAATTGCTTGTCACTGTACCTGATGAAAGGAAGAATATAGTCGAGCACACAAAGACAATCCTTGTGACTAACTCACCAGCCAATATATTGTGTCAGTGTAGCATCGAATAATTTTGCTGTTTCATTGCTCGTCGTATCAATGGGAATTCCATCGTTGCGTAAAGTTTTGACATCACGCCAATGGTCCCGAAATGGCATTTCGAAAAACGAATTTCTACCCTCAACTTGCTTGCTGCTCTTAAAAATGATTCTTTCGATACACCAAAGATAAAATAGAAATGTGTTGGTAGGTATGAAAGAGAACACGTGGTAACATAGCATTAATATAAAAATCGGGTAGCGCAAGCTTGTCATAGAAGTACACATGTAAGACATCCCTACTGCAGTTATTTCTCTTTCTCTTTTATATTTTGTTACATTTTAAACATGTAAGAGAAGATGGTTCGCAAGTGTTTCTCAAGATAATTTTAGTTAAATTTCGATAGAAAATAGAATAAAATCACACCAGATAACTCCAAAGTACTATTTTCTTTTTTTATGTATTTTCTCATCAATCAACATAACTATAGCATAAGATATAGGTCCCAAAACAAAATGAATTGACATTTATTGTTTTTGTGACAGAAATTATATCTATTTCGTCATATGAATACAACACGGTAAGTATGATTTCGATGATTTTTCTTTTCAGAAAAAAACCTAAACATGATGAATAAACATTTTTGTTTTACTTTGTTTGTCTATTACTTCGTCCAATGATTAACCTTGAAGGAATAGAATTACATCTGTCAGTTGCAAGATTCCGTTTTAATTATATTCATAGTGCTCAATAATACAATGAAATGCTTGCAAAATGTTTCACAAATAAAGAAATTCAGATTCAGTATAAGCACCAGTATTTTCAATAAGACAATTTAGAAATGAGTTTTTTTCATCGAACAACGTTGTCAACGTAGTTTCATTAGTAGAGGATATGATGAAGTTGGCTCATATCTTCATACTAGTTCAATAGAGCCTGAATATAAATGTCATAGCTACTCACTTCCATATGAATTCAAATATCTTCTGAATCTGAACGATTCTTTTCAAGATGATGTGGCTTATAAGGTTCGATTTTTGAAGATGATTGATACACTCGTCTGTGAAGGTTTTCCGTTTGTCGAAATTTTATTTGTACACAATGATGAACCACAAAGAGACAAGTAATATTTGTCTATGCTGATTATATTTCGTCATCTTAGAAATCTGCACATCAGTTATAAATCACTCGATATGGTAACAAACAGTTTGACCAATCATGTAGCATATTTCAGTACAGCTAAATTGAAACGTCTTAATATCTCTCAGTCATTTGCTTGCTCAGAATATTTTTCATTAGTATTTTCCTTTATTATAAGCATTACTTTTTCTAGATATTCTTTCAATACATATACATTGTTGAAAACAATTTAACATATTTAAATTATCTTAACCCACTAAAATGCAATCGTTATAACCATAAGAAAATATATCTAATATATATCGTGATGCAAAGAACAGCTTTTTCGGCTTGACGTTATTTTATGCCTCTTTAAAGCACCTGAAGCTATTATTTTGAGCTACTTTATACGTACTTCGCTGTTCTCATCTTGACTAGAAAAATACATGCTCCTAGATAGCATTTACGGACAACTTTTTCTGTGTAACACAGATGTAGAATCTGTCATCTTTATATGAAAAAAAAGATTTCTGTATCATTTTATTACAATGAAATCGTATTGATCAAAATAACTTATTTAACATGTTTTTCAATAGCAGTTCATATTCTTCTTAGTACGAAATCAAGCTATAATCGGCCAAAGCTTCTTATCCGTAATAGATTCTTTGATTTATTCGTAATTTTATGATTCGTTCGGCTGTCTGAATTCATTATTCATGATTAACACATTATTCATTTCTTGGCCTTACAAAACTTTTGCCGTCATGCTATTTTTTTAATTAGTGCAATAACAACAAGAATTACATTCAAATCAGATTTACCATCAGTTTCATCGAATATGCTTGCATCCCTTTACATGTTGCCAAGTAAGAAAAATACATGTACAACTTTGCATAGATAATTTTCAATTATCCACTTTAACGTATAATAAGAAGAAATCAAAGCAAATTTTATAAATGATGCAATATTCAGAATCAATCAAGTTAAATACTAAAATTTGCGCTTCATAGCTAAAACGCACACAATCATTTTATTTGATAAAACCTTCGTCTTCAGAGTATCATAACGGTGCTCTCACGAATGTCACTCTTTCGATTCTGCATCGAAAATAAAGATTTTGTCTTTCGCCAGCATATAGATTTTTTTTTCGTTATCAAAGAGTAGATATTATTTCACCCTCAAGTAGTGGCAAACAAAAGCGAGAAGAAAATGTATAGAACGAATAAGCGTTAGCTTGCATAGTAATAGTCTATTTTGTCGTATCACTATTGACACAACATCGACATCAGCTGCCTAACGCTGACATTCTTTTCAATATTTTTATGTGCTGTATTTAGACACATTGATAAACATGATTTTCATATTTGGGTTTGCCATTTTCATTTATGTTGCTTATGAATTGTACAAACACTTTTTTCCTGCACCCAATGTTGATCCCAATGGCAAATATGTTCTTATCAGTGGATGCGATAGTGGCTTCGGTAATGCACTAGCCATCGAACTCGACAGACAAGGATTCAATGTCTTTGCTGGTATTTACAGTGAGGATAGTAAGCCTGTATTAACTAAGCAACTTTCATCACGAGCAACTGTCTTCTTACTTGACATTACTCGTCAGCAAGATATTGATTCGGCTTACGAGCTGATCAAAAGAAAAACGAATACTCTTCATGCCTTGGTCAACAATGCAGGAATTTTCACTGGTGGTCACATTGATTGGACTACCACAGAATCAATGCGTCAAGTGATGGATATTAACTTTTTCGGACAGGTATCCATGACTAAGACATTCTTACCACTACTGATTACTAAACGAGATTCACGTGTAGTGAATGTTTGTTCGGTGGCCGGCTTCATATCTTCTCCATCCGGTTCAGCATATTGTGCTTCTAAATACGCACTGGAATCGTTTTCTGATTGTCTTCGTCGTGAAATGTTCGCTTGGGGTTTGCGTGTGAGCATTATTGAACCAGGCATCATGCGAACGCCAATTATTCAAAAGTATGCTCAGGCCGTACGTGAGGTAGCAATGCAATTATCGGCTGATGTTCGAGAACGATGGGGGGAAGAATTTTTGACGTGTTATTTTGAAAATTCGAAAAACAATATTTTGGTTAAATGGGCTGAAGATCCAATCAAAGTAGTACGTGCACTTCAACATGCGATAGCAAGCACGGCACCGCATATTCGCTATCGACCTGGTTGGCAATCCAAGTTTGTTTACTTTCCTTTATCAATTTTACCTGCCTGGTTAACCGATTTTTACTACGCCAAAACACGCTCTTTACCTATCCTACCAGCCAGCGTAAATAAGCAACTCAAATGATAAGTTCAATTTAAGCAAAACTATAAACTAATATTAGTTCTTCCAAGACACATTCGTATTCAAATATTGAACTCGAAATACTATAATTATCTTTGTTTAGTATTGTTTTAGATGTGTGAATAAAAATGCATATCTAGCACAGCGACAAATAGATAGAAACTAGATATTGTTATCGACACCTTTTTTTTCTTACTGAAACCTCACAAAGCTTGCGCCAGTTTCTTTAGGAGCCAAATGCTATGGCATGGAAAAGATCTTATTTTGAACTTGTTTGTTGAAGCTTCTTGTGAAATTTTACGTTGAAAATTTCAAAAATCAAATACTATGGTTTTAATAGGGTATCAATGTTGAGCGTATTAGCTGTCACTATTTTTAGATAATTGTATTCTTTATAGGTTCGAATAGTATCTATATAGGAAAGCCTCGTTCGTTTCTAATGATCATCTACTTCTATTGAGTTGTTAGTATTAAAGATAAATAAATCAAACTGAAAACAACAAAAATTTGCTATCGGACCTTATTTATGAACTGATGAAATCATTCTTAAAATGATGACATTTTGAAAATTTTTTTATTGAAACTGATCAATGTTTATTTTTATATACACACAGCTGTTTTAACGCTAAAAGGCGAAATGCACTTGCTGATATTTCAGAAAAAGATTAATGTTGGTCGTATGGGGCCCATACAAATGAGTTACTTTTAAATCATTCTAGACATGCATTTGGTCATACACAAAACTTCGTGATTGGAAAAAAAATAGATAACTTGATAATAAGAATGTACAGTTCAGCAACGTATAGATGATTAAGTATAAATCCAATCGTGATAAAAATTGATGAAAAACAAAAAAATGCGATTTCTATTTATACAGAAATTAACAAAAATAAATTTTCTTTTTTGTATCTATTTTGCGAGCATTTTGCTTCATTGGCAACCTTGGTAAATCAAAAGTATACAATGTTATGGCACATCATGAATAAAAAAACAATAAACATAATTTTAATTCAATCAAAGAAATAGCATACACCAGCAAATTGAGAAGTTCCAAGAAGAACAATCTAACTTAACGTCGATCTACGATCAAAAGTCACGAAATAATTTTCAGTATGGCATGGTTCGAGGGTTGATGAATTGCAAACATTCATGGTAAGACAATTATTGTTAGATGAGACATTAAATTCTCATTTCACTCCGTATACCCATTTTCAATATTGCATTAGTTATACCGAGTTTTTTTTCACAACAATCTAATGTGTGAGTGATATTTTATTGCTTTTTTTACCAAATACGACAGAATGATTCTCTTATTTTCTAATATTAGTTTCTCATGAAAGTGTTAATAATACGTTGATCAGCTTTCCGAAAATAATCAGTTGTTTCTACGATATGAAGATGTTCATTAAATCAGACAAAGAAAACATTGCTTTAACTCAAAAGCACAAGATAATCTTTTCCTTTTGCGATTAACATCAAAATCTAACTTATGAATTCTTGAAAGAATTAGCGTTATCTGCTTGGTTGCAGCTATTTAAAAATCTTCTCATAAATATTTCAAGCTACAATCGACATTGAGTGTGATTTGAATTGACTACAGACAATTGTCTTCTGCACACTACAAAAATCTTACCAGGATATAGGTCTATGCTACGATTTGGCCGAGAAATAGGAGCTTTATCGAAATTTGCCTGCAGCATGCTGACTTTCTAACAAAACCATGCTATCATCGAAATACTACTACTTACCTATATTTGTTCATGGTTTGAGTGCATTTATCAAATGACGTACTATGAATGAATTACAATATTTCGACTTGACTTTCGCTGTTAACTTGTCGTAAGGTTTCTTATGTTAGTCATCGGCTTTTTTCCGTCATAGCAAACGGTAAAACATAATGATTTGGTAATATCCAATTATTATTGCAAAAGTCTATGATTACGCAGGTTTCAGTAAAGCTCTGTTGCAGTTTTTCCATATAGCCAAGTTGAAACCAGTTGATACACAGAATAAAATAATAGAACTTGAGCGAAAAAAATCGCGAGGCAATTAGCTTGTATCAGAGGTAATGTTTTCAGGTTATTTTGTTAACTGAATGATGAGCTTGAAATCAATTCAAATCCTTTAAGGTTCATTCGAGTTGAAGAATATCATTTTAAGACGCTGAGAATCACGCCATAGACACTTGTTGTGTTTCTGTTCTTAATGATTACACAACCTTTTCTGGAAAAGCAACTGAAGGCTGTCCCCCAACGCAAAAAAGTTTTCTCGTATTCTAATGTTATGTTAGAAAAAACTAATAAACTTCGAGATTAAGAAAAAAGTTAGCACGGTGTGGGTGTGGGTGTGGGAGTGAGTGTGAGTGTTTGTGTTGATTCAACAATAAACGCATACATCCACACCTACACCCACACCCTCTTAATATACTTGAAACAGCAAGAGATGGCGTCATATGTGGTGGTGAAAGTGGCATATTTACACCTTATTTCTTTTTTCTTGCAAGAAAATCTTGATTTAATAAAAAAACAAAACAATAGACAAATTTATAGGAATTGAACTTGGTTTATAAATTTTGTTATTCTTCATTGTATTTGATTTTTCATATGTGTTGGATTTCCATTAGTTTGTTGAAATCTAAGAAATATGAATCAAATATTTACTATTGTAAAGGAAAAGTGAAACACAAACAAAAAGGCTTTTGGTTTCTAAGTTTATCAAGATCAAGCTATTATTGCACAATCATAATTTTTTACAACAAGTAAGAACACATCATTGAAGAGAACAGCTGTTGTAATGAGATAATCATTATGCCGATTATATCAAATATTTTTTCGATTTACAACTCCAGAATTTTTCGATGGAGGAAGCGATCAAAATTTTTCTATCTGTTTTTGACAAGGTTATTATTCTTGTACGATATCTATGACAAGAATTATTCTATACATTGAAAAACGAAAAGAAGAATTTACGTAATCAAGCAAAGACTTAATTGACTTCATTTGCAAAAGCTAATCGATGTTTTGATTTGGCAAAATCATCCATAATACTTGCAATATTTAGTTTTTGAGCGATGGTCTTATGAATACTGATAGTAGTCAAACTAATGAGTCTTTCATGACTTGTTCTATTGCATAAATAAGTCTTAATTAACTTCATAAGAGAAAATGAGCGCTCAACAATACCTATCGATAGTGGAATTTATCATTTGAATTCCGATGAGAATAACAATTGATGCATTCGGTTGGGTATGGGTGTGGGTGAAGACAGCATGAATATTTGCAACCACATCCACACACTCACACACTAACCGACACCCGTACACACCCACGCTCGCACCCTTTTCAGGCAAGAATCTTTCACTGAATTGTATGTAAAAACAAACTTGACCGATGAGGAAAATTCAGGTTTGAAACTCTCAACACCTTCATTGGCGAGCCACCATGGTGGAAAGGTATGTGGCAGTTGCCATACCAAAAATTTTTAGTCGTTATGGACTTTCCTGTACGACTATTTTTTCGATCCAATCTTTAATCGGAAGCCAGTAAAAAAAAATAAGACCATCGGTGACTCCTACTTTTCCATAGAGGTATCCTCAGATACGCTCGATTTACCTATTTTTTCTAGAGGTGGTGTAACGGATGATCGAAAATTATTTGAACAAAATGTTTGTTTACTTTTGACCCGTCTGAAAGTATTTGGGACGAGTCAAAATCTATGCGTTAGAATCAGAACCTTGTGCTCTTTCCGAATATGGACTTAGAAGTTTTATGTCAATTCCTATTCAAGAGTAGTGAAATAATCTTTGAAAGGTCCAACAAATTAATTTGGACGGAACGTTTGGGTCGAAGTGTGGTTGTGGGTGGGTGTATGGGTGTGGGTGGGTATGGGTGTGGGTGGGGTGTGTGGTGGGTATGGGTTTTAAAAATAAGAAATAAATTCACACCCACACCCACCCCATACCCGCACCCACACTCACCCACATCCACCCACACCCGATGTTGACTAACTTTACTATAGTAAATTCACATGATTTAAAAATTTGAATTCCTTCATGGATGTATTCTGTAACATTATTGATGAGTAATTGTATCTGTCAATATATATGTAGGTTTATTCTCTATATCATTATACTGTTTAGCCTGTGAAAATCTTTCAAAAACAAAAAATGTTCACTTTCTTGCCATTATGTAAATATTTATGTTCAATTCGTATATTTTTATATATCTTCTTTCTATTTTTAGATATTCATCTTTCTTTCGCAATATCTATTCTCATTCATATTCATAGTGTTTGCATAAAGTTAATTGTGCTCATTTGCATGTACTTATTATGTTCAGATAATTAAACTGATCGAAGTCAAATAACTTATCTACAAAAAGACGTAAAGCCGTTTTCTCGCCAATATTGTAAATACCAATTTCACATAAATTAGAATAATCAGTAGCAAGAAGAATACGTTCGGCAGATAGTGATTCAAGATTAAGTCATTTGATTTTATGATGAATATTAGGTAATATTTCTGAACAAAATCGATTCAATATTGTATCAGTTAGAGAATAGATAACATCATCGGATGAGTACTTCATTAATGTTAAGTTATTAGTAAAAGTTGAATTAGATATTATTTTATTCAATCGTCTGTTGATATATTGATTAAAGAATAGAATGCTAAGATATTGTTTAATTTCTTAAAAATAGTCATAGGTAATTCGTCAGGTAAATCAATTATTTCAAAAAATAAATCTTCCATATTCATTTTCAAGTACTAATGTTGTTTACTAATGCATATTCACAGTAATATATATATATATATTTAGTTGCTTGATTTTGACCGTTGCCGTCAATAAAAACAATGATGAAGTTCTTTTGTCGAAACTGACGATGAACGAATGACATTACTTTTTTGCACTCAGTCAATAATTCTTATTTTAGAACAAATAAAAGATTATATATGAGTTTTTGTTAATTTAAAATGTATATGTTAAACTGTACTATCTAAAGATATGTATAACACGGTCTATTAAAACAGTAATGAAAAAGAAAAACAAATGAGGTAGAATAGTAATACGACTCTTGAATATTTAGGTAATGGCAAAATAAATAAGATCTGAAATAGATAACTACAATTAACTATGCAGGATTTTCTGACGAAAACCAAGAGAAAATTCAATGAATAGAATATCGATCTATAAACCTTTGGTTAATTGTAATTCCTGTTATCCTTTTTATTTATAAAACAACTTCTATATCCATTCAAGTAAAATTCTGTTCTCTTTATTTCGCAAAATTTTGATTTTTTTTTTAACAAATGAGTGTTATGTATTATTTCTGAATAGAATCATCAATTGTTTTGAAGATTAAGAATAGGCAAAAAGTTGACAGAAAACGTTTCTATTTGACTTTTTTTGACAGAAAAAAGGGCAAAGAGCGCTTAAAATCTAATATCTTTTCAGGATATTAACATATGGGTCTAGTTGGATCCTTTTCTTGACTCACACCCATTGTACATACACTGTAAATATCTTAAATTTTGAATGTCTTGTCTAACGCATATGAGCAGCAATTCATATTTTAAATTTGTTAGTTTGACGATGCATGTTTTATTTTGACTACAATATGTTCAATATTTTTAACTAAAGATGCAAATATTTCTATTGTAATTGGAAATATTGCAAGCAGTTTTTAAAAGCAAAAGATATGTATGTTGGAGTTCAATAATTTCTCATATTTATACTAGACTTAACAATTAACTTAAAAGACAAATCGATGATATTTTATAAGTAAACAGGAAGTACACACATTATACTTGTAGTAAGTATTACTTAATTCTACATTGAAGAGAATTGTTTAACTATTTAATCTCATATTTAAATCAATTCATGATATTGCGACATCTTTAACATAACTTAAGAAAATACAATTAATCGAATTTAGATTGTTTTATTGGATTTTATTTGGATAATAAATAAAAATCTGAATTACGAAATTTTATCTTCATTTTCATTTTACATTCAATATTTATTTATATTGAAGTGTGTTTCAGAAGAAAATCTATATTAAAATCAAAACTATGTCGAAAAATAGTATTAAAATTCGTCTTCAAGAATTACTCGATAATGAATTATCATTATCGCATGATAAAAAACATGTTATTTCAGCATATGATACATTAATTAATATTCTTCAAACACCTGAAATTCATAAACATTTATCGAAACAATCTGAATTACTTTTCAAATGTATATCTCAAATAATTCTGACATCATTTAATCAATATTTTCATGATGATCAATTACGTATTTTACTAGAGTTAACATTGAAAACAAATATTTTATCAATCACACAAAATCAAATTATTAGTAATTGGTTACAAAATATTGAAGAACGTATATTTGAAATATCTGATAGTGATGATGATGTAACTGAAAGTGAAGAAGATGAAAAAATTACAAGAATTAAAATAAGTAATAATAATAATAATATGTCGAAGAAAAATGCAAGCAATCAACATCAACAAAAATGTACGTATAATAGGGATTCATCTCATCATGATTTGAGTTCAGCATCAGCAAGAGATAAAATACGACCATTAAAAAGTATGAGATAGTAATGAATTTTTATATTTCAAATATATTAACTTATATAGAACAAATTACTAACTGAAATCTATTCAAAAAATTCACTTAACTAGTAAATTTCATTTGAATTTATTCATAGAAATATTTCAGTATCTTATTTAATTGAAGACTAATATACTCTGATCAAGTATTTTGGAATATTTTTATGTATTTAAGATATTTAATATAACTTCAACTTTAATAAATAAATACGATGATTATACTCAATAAGTACAATATGAAGGCTAAGAAATAAAAATACAATTAGAGATAATGTCAAAGATGTGAAAAATACAAAGAAAAAAGATTTTTATAGTCACTACAATTTTTTTCATTTTCCGAAAGTACAAATCAAAATTTCGGGTGGGCGCAGTCCATCTTGGCCATTTATTGAATTAATGACATCTGTAAATATTTCAGTGTCCGAATCAAAATTTTGAG